CATACGAGGCAGACGATCGACATTACAGGTAAAATCTTGAATATATTCTCCATCATTTCTTGAGGACGTAATTCCGATGTCACGGCATTCTTGACATGTTGGTGGTTCTCCTTGGCTTCTTTCACCACAGACGTCGTTTGGATTGGTTCGTTGCCGTGGTTTTGCAACTGGACTATTTGCGCAACCGAGCTGAATGAAGCCGAGTTCCTCGCTAACCACACTCCAATTGTGGTTTGAACAAATATAAATGCTCGGCTTTTGAAAGCCGTCAGTTATAAATGCAGTTGAGCAGAGATGTATACAGGAAAAAATGTGTCGATGATGAACCCAAAAACGTGTAAAATGTCGATTCAGCTCGTGAAACGTCATTGTTAGCCATTTAATCATCTTTGAATAATGCCTAAAACAACAAAGATTAAGTAAAATTCCTGATGAGAACTGTATACTAACATTAACGGTGGTAATTCGACGAAATCAACTTTCTTCAAAAAGAAAATAATTTGTATACATTGTTGAAGAAACCAAATATCCATAATTCTCTTTAGATACAAATTACCGTTTCCAATTAGTTGGTTCATATTTATGCTGAGTGGATCGATTATGGTCATCGTTCGGTTGTACGCTTTTGAGAAATTGTCGAACGCCGAGTACATGTATAAAATCGACGATGTGAGTTGAATTAGCAACTTTTTATCATAAACGTTCCTTCGACCAAAATAGAGATACGGAGTGTTCATATAACTTTCATATGTGACGAATTTCCGACGGTTTTGTATATAAAAATTAGAATAATAAACGATAGAGCAGCGTTTACATCGACCCTTCCAAATTGTGGCAGGAATTCTTCGAAGAATTTCATAACACAACATATTTCGCGTCAAACCAATTTTCGTCGAACAAACAAGACATATACAACAAAATGGAAATAGTTGCATTTGATTAAATGATGTAGATTGACGGTAACAGGAAATTGCATCAGACAGATGTGTTTCATCGTAGAAATGATACATTTTATTCGTTTCGATTTTTGTTAAAATTTGTTCAGTATCAGAGACGGAGTGTAAACGATGATTGTCATTGTAGCAATATTTGTTGAATATATTCATAATGTGTAGACATCTCTTCGGATCACGTAGAGGAATGAGTCTTTCAAGTAGCTGTAACACTGTTAACATTTCTATAGAAAAATTGGCGACAGTAGCGAGGAGACGTCTATCATTATCTGCGGCAGTTGTTGTTTCACGAGCAACTCTATCCCAAAGGCTGCCGAAAGGATTTATCTAAAAGATGGATAACTGGATTAATGGCTGTTGTGACAATGATAAATAGTACAACCGCGAATATTAATAAAATAATTAAAGTATAAATAAAAATTCAAAGAAATTTATTTCAAAATGGAAAAATGGCTAGCATCACAGTGGCAGAATTTTACTGATAGTAGACCTGGAACTGTTACCGGGATAAAAATAAAAAAGACGAAAAACTAGAGAGTTAATGACTGGGGACAAGTTACTTTGTCTTTGGGCGACGTGTCCGTTTTGCAACGTGTGCAGACTGTTCTTCTGACACCTGCTCTTGCCTTTTTTTGTTATTCGACTGAATATTATATGTTCCAGTCAGCAAGACTGATTGTAGCTGTTCTGATCCACTGTTTCGATTATTTCTTCGTTGAGTTAATGGAACATTATTTGATGAATCACTGTCATTTGGTTCACTGCTATCATCATCTACACGGTAAAAAAAAGTATGCTTGAGACTGTAATGATTCTATTTTGCTTTTACCTGCGGCTTTTGCTAATAGGGTTATTTCACTAGTAACTGGCGCATTGAACTCGGTTAGATATTTATCTTTTGCGTTATTAGAAACAGCTGTGGATCTTTTGGGATCATTATTGTCCGCGTCTCCATAAGTAAGTGATTGATTGTCTTTTAAGAAAAGCATTCAATTAGAAATGTATATTTTATGAGCAAGAACCAACCTTTTTGCGGTAGCATGACACGATCGTATGAAACTCTGCACTGTTTAAAATGAGTTTTCATTAACTGTACGCCGTCCTGGGTTAATCGTAACCCCCCACTAGCGGTTGAAGGAATGGTGATTGTTGAACACGTCGAACCATAGTTGTCGACGGTAATACCGAATGCACCCAATACCTGCTCGAATGTCTCAGCTAGGCATGCAACAGTACCAGTTCTTTACTGGTAAACTGGTACCGTTTAACTCGTTCTTACCGGTACCTGT